TCACAAGACACACCCGACAAAACGCGGCTCTGATTTTTATTGATTTTGAAAAAGCCTATGACCATGTGGATTGGTTATTTTTAGACAAATGTTTAGAAAAAATGAACTTCGGGCCGGATTTCAGACGGTGGATACGAATACTTCACCAGAACGCTACGACATGCGTTCAGGTCAACGGAAACCTTGCGCCACCTCTACAGTTAGAACGATCGGTCCGCCAAGGGGACCCCATCGCCCCCTTCCTTTTTTTGGTCATTATGGAGGCCCTAGCCGCCAACCTCTGGGCCAATAAAGACATCACCAAAATCCGTGTTACACGCATCCCGGAAGACGCAATCCCGGTATGTTCACTCTTTGCGGATGATCTCACGATTATGGCAGAAGCCACCCACAACAACATGGAGGAAATTCAACGGATGATGGAAAAATTTGGCAAAGTTTCTGACATGACGGTAAATTGGGGTTCTAAAACACAAGGCTGGTGGATTCACTACCAAGGGGGACGGCCTCCAGAATCACCACGCATTAAATGGATGCCATTAGAAACCCCACTGAGAATCCTTGGGGTATCCATGACCGCAGAAGGACGCCCGCCAACTAATGATGAATGGATCAACACCCCGGCCCAGGGCAAACTCGACAAGTGGAAAAACAAACACACTTCCCTTTTTGGTCGGGCCCTGGTTCTTAACAATGTCATCTTTGCATCCCTCTAGTACAAATCATTATTATGGCCCTTGAGTAGAGCGGCCCTAAGGAGACTAAGGAAAAAGGCAGCAGCATTCCTATGGAGGGGGGATGGAGAGCAGGCCAACGTAATTAATCGCGTGGCCTGGGACTCAATTATTCAACCAAAGGCGGGGGGGGGCCTGGGAATACTAGATCCAGCCACACAAGTACAGGCACTGCGCATCCAATGGATAAAAAAACTTATTTTCCCCCCCCACAGCCCGTGGTGTGTCCTTGCCCTGGAGCATCTGGCCCGGCTGGCTCCGGCCACCCCCCATACGGTTCACCCGCTCACCTGGTTAGAGGACCGTTTTTTGACGATCCCGCGCAAACTTCCACTTGGGAGAGAAGGGATAGAAGGAGGGGGACAGACAATAGATGAATTTTGGCCATCGCAACCCCTCTTTGGTAACAGATGGGTGACGGATACAAGAGGCTGTGTTATGACAAGTTCATCCCCACCCTGGAAGAATTGGGTCAAACATGGAGTAYTGAGGGTGGGGGATCTYTGGGACAGTGAAAGACGGGACTGGAACACARGGRACCAAATGCGAGCAACACTGCGATACAACCACCAGGTGGAAAAACGACTAGAAGATCTTATTGAGGCCATCCCCTTAGAATGGTACCGGATCCTTAAACGGGGCCCCACCCTGAACGAAGGAGATTGGGTGGCAGATACAGGGTACCCTCTAAGGGTTGGCCTGATCCATATGGTGTCACCCCAAAAAGTACTGGTCGAACACTATGCTACCACCAGGGTCGACACCCTCCAAGGGAACAGAGCACCTTTCGAATGGAGAGAAAAAACCTCTCTATACAGAGTGAGAATTCTTGAAGAAAAGGGACAAAAGGTGGCATTCCAGCCCGATACGTCTATTCGGGACTTAGCTCTGGACCCAGCAGAATGGATCTGGCAGCCCCCCCAAAAGAGAGGCTTCCCCAAAGTAAAACACATCAGTTTACAACAATTAATGGTCAAAACTACTTACAAAATGCTTAGACCAAAACGGAATCTACGAGATCTGATAAACGACAGATGGGCAAGACACTTAAATGTGGACCGCTCCCTTCTCTCGCCGATCCGATGGTTTAAGGAACAAAAGTATAAACCCATGAAAATCACTTCCCTGCAATGGCAGATAGCCCATCGCTGCCTGCCCACAAACGATTGGCTAATCGACCGCACTAATTTGGAACAAAGAGGGTTGCTCCTCCCATGGTGCCAGCGGTGCCAGGGTCTTTTCCCCTTCCACAAGAAAGCGGAAACCATCGAATATATCTTTATGCAATGCCCGATTGCTCTTTTCACATGGCAATGGTGGGACCGTATATGGCATAAAATAGAACCAGATTCCCCCTGGCCCTGGACTTGGCAGGCCATTCTGATAGGACATTGGCCGTTAGCAGGAACAACCACAACCTTCACAGAGAACATGTTCAGATTGGGCAGGAGAGCGGTAATTTGGGCATTATGGTGGCAACGATGTACCCTGGCCATAGAAAAGGTACGGGTGGAAGGACCAGAAATTACGGAACAAATCCAGCAACAGATCCACCTCAAACTCACACGAAGATGGGAGGATACTAAAGCACAACTGCACCTCCTCAGCTAGACAATAGATATCAGAAAACGAATTACAGCATTCTGCACAGACTGGGTATGGGGAGAAAGGGAAGGATGGATCGCAAAAGTAGAATGGAGCGGCGACCAAGGAAGAGACTTGCAGGATTGGGGAGAAACGAGGAACTACCGGCTAGTTTTTAAAGACTGGACAAATATAGAACCCTCGCTTCCCTTACGCCCCTTCACAAATTTCCCGGATCCTTTCCCACCCCATGCCCTATCCCCTACAGAAATCCCTTTCTGAGCATGAGAACTGATCCTCTCCAAATCTGGGCCTACATGCGGCTTCCTCCCTGGTGCCCCCTGGGGAGGCCCTTGCTATCCTTCAGTTTCAGTGTCAAGCTATCTGCTATCAGCTGCTCAGTTAACCCCCCAGCTTCACTGGGGTAGTCAATGTTGGCAGCCAGTATCTCATTGATCTCATTTTCCGAAACTTCTGAAACTTCTGAATTTTCTGAATTTTCGCTCTGTTTCTTCTGAATTTTTCAGAGGGAGAAGGAAGCCAGTACGTATTAGTAAGAACCTGGCGCCGAAATCAAGGTGAAGAGGCTTCTCCCGTGCTCAGTCAATCCCCGTTTTTCCAGGGCAATCAATGCTGGCAGGGATTTCYCACTTTTCTTCTGACAAGTTACAACTGTATTATATTCATAAGGGACGCTGGACCCGTTTTCCAGCAGGTGTTGCTCCCCACCAATAGATGGAGCCTGCCCCCCAGGTGCTAGCGGTGTCTGCTCTTATCAGCATCGCTAACACTGCAGGGACTGTTTCTTCCAAAAAAAAAAAAAAAAAAAAAAAAAAAAAGTGCTAACTTTGTACAACGATTTTGGTGGCCTAACATGCTGGACGATGCAAAGAAATACATACAGACCTGTCAAGTCTGTCAGCGGGATAAGCCGCGAACTCAAGCTCCACTTGGGTTACTCAAGCCTCTACCTATTCCTGCTGGCCCAAGACATAGTATCTCCATGGACTTCATGGATACTCTCGTGACCAGCAAGAATGGCAAGAGACACATCTTCATCATAGTGGATAGGTTTACTAAATATGCTAGACTAATTGCTATGTTAGAGACTTCCGGGATTGAGCACGTCATCAAGTTGTTCACGGACAACTGGGTGCGTGACTTTGGACTGCCAAAGACAATCGTTAGTGACAGAGATGTGCGCTTCACAAGTGAGATGTGGAAGACGGCCGCTGTATAGGTGGGCAGCCAGCTTCAGATGACTTCTGGGAATCATCCCGAAGCAAATGGGCAGGCTGAACAAATGAACCGTGTGGTGCAGCATCTGCTGAGGCATTACATCAAGCCCAACGAGGATGACTGGGATGAGAAATTACCTCTCATTGCCAGCCTGTATACTAATGATATACACACCACCACTGACGTCAGTCCTAATCAGTTGCATCTAAGGTGGAAGCCTAGATCTGCTCTAGACTTCCTCCTCCCTGAAAACCGAACTGCAGCAACTCCTGGAATCATTGAATTTGGTGTCCAGTATGAGAATTTGTCGCAGCAGACTGTCGAACACATCAAGAAATCTCAGGAAGCTATGATTGCTTCCGAGAACAAACGTCGCAGACAGTCCACATTTCGGGTAGGGGAACGTGTCTAGGTCAAGGCTAGTGAGTTGGGACAGGAGTTTGGCATCTTTAGGAAGCTAATGCCTCAGTATTTCGGTCCCTAGGAAGTCTTAGACATTGTGGGGAATGATTTGGATGGTCCCTCATACGTCATTCGTATCCCTGTTCACYTACGCACTTACCCTGTTTTTCACGCCTCCAAACTTGCACCTTTCGCTGAGACAGCACAGTTCCCATCACGGAGATCTATGCTGCCCCCAACCATGGATGGCCACATGGACGTCGATGGCATTCTGGATCACAGAGACACGCCTGTTTCCAAGCCACCTGGCAGGGGAAGACCTCCTAAACCTGCAAGGGAGTACAGACTCTACAAAGTACATTTCAGGCATCATACTGAACCGAAGGAAGATCGATGGATTTCAAGAGAGGAACTTATCAAGACAGCTCCTCAGATCGTGGCAGATTATGAGAAGAAGCTGAAGGGAAAGGCACCGGCATGAAGCATTTTAGCGGACTTTCGAAGCTAAGGGGGATGGAATGTGAGGAACGAGCCCTCAAGGGGCCCCATCAGACATCACATGATATGGGCTAAGGCCCCCAGCAAGCCAAGTGCCCACCCTAAGTGAAGGCGGGCCTGAATATTTGTCAGAGGCAAAATTCAACATTTCCATGTGTGGGTATTCAGGCTCTTTCAGCACGCAGGTTGGTTGGGTAGACGCGTGAGCCTCACAAAGCTGCGTCATACAGTTGGCCCAGGCCTTGACAGTTGCGCCTGGGCACATACACACAAAGCAGGGCCGATACATTGGGAAGCAGGCCGTCGGCCTTGACAAAAGCAGTACTGCCGACGCACCTGCCTGGGAGCCCTGCACAGATGCAGCAACAGCCCAAGTGGGAGACTCAGGCCGTGCCCAACTGTAAGGGGCCCAGGCCCTCAACTGTAGGCTCGGGCCTGGGCACAGGGTCTGCGGCCCAACCGGAAGCTGCTGGAAGCTTCCAGACAGGCCACACGCAGCATCCAGGAGGCTGCCACTTCCACAAAAGGAGGAATGCAGCCCAGGCCAGGCATTCTGGCCAGTGCTGGCACTGCTGGAAGTGCTGCTGCGCTCTCGATTGATGCTGCGCTGCTGCCAAAGGCGCTGACGGGGTGCATAGTGGTGAGGAGGGCCGCTGCAGGGCAGCGGGGCGCAGGCAGCCATAGACGAGCTGCTGGGCGCCAGGGGATACAGTGATCGATCTAGTGGTCTTCAGGGAAGGAGGCGAGTGTGGGGGTTATCAAGGTCTGATTGAGGGTGACGAGATACGTACCTGGTACATGAAGAGAGGTTGCCGATGATGTTGACAGTCATGTACATTGGTCTTCGAGAGTCGAAGTGAGCCTGTTGCCTGAACCAGCTGTAGGTAGGATAGTCGGGTAGAGTAGGCTGGGCGCCGAGCGCCAGAGAGAGAGGAGCGACTTTGGATACTGTGTTGGTGTGGCCTATGGGCTTGAACATTGCCTCATTACTTCATTGTATTGCTCTATATGGATGGTTACTCGGTCCATTTTGTACTCTCTGCTTGGATAAGACTACCTTGACATCTGTGTGATTTCGCAACTTGGTTTTCTGTATATTGTTCACACTCATATTCTTTGCAATAGTTTTTTTTTCCGATTTCTTGTTTTTTCTTTGGTCTTTCCAGAGGGACCTTCCCTGGCCTTGCCCGGACGGGCCGCCCGCAAAACCAAGGTGACCCAGATGGGCTAGGGTTGGTAACACAGCTTTCCAGACATTTCTGCATATTTCCTTGTCCGGACTGTCCGGATCCAATCATGTCCGGAGGTTTGGACTTGTCCACTCGTCCGGACATCCGGGGGAGTCCACATCTGCATCCAGCCAGACATCCGGCAATGTTTGGGGCAATGTGCAGGTCCAGCTAGCCATGCAAAATACAATATTTTGAAATTAATCTCGACAGATCCAAATTTCCGGATTCTGGACCGCGGACCACGGACCATCTGGACCCTGGTGCGGGGGCTTAGTTGGTAGCCATGGGTTTCAGGAAGACAAGGACGAGGACGAGGACGAGGACGAGGACGAGGACGAGGACGAGGACGAGGACGAGGACGAGGACGAGGACGAGGAGGACGAGGAGGACGAGGAGGAGGACGAGGAGGAAGAAGGAGGAGGGGGGGGGGGGGAAGAAGGAGGCGGAGAAGTAGGAGTAGGAGTAAGAGGAGGAAGAGGAGGAAGAGGGGGAAGAGGAGGAACAAGACAAAGACAAAGAAGAAGAAGAAGAAGAAGAAGAAGAAGAAGAAGAAGAAGAAGAAAATGAAAATGAAAAAGAAAAAGGAGGAACAGGAGGAGGAGGAGCAAGGGGGGGGGGAGGCAGAGAGAGAGCGGCAGCAAGAGAGAGACCATTAAATGTTTACAAATATGGTTGTGTTCTCTTCCGTTTTTTTCCTCACGGCCCAAGCACAACACATCCTCTGTGATTTCACACTGAGCCTGAGCCAGTGCTTAAGTATTTTCATGGTGTTCAAAAAATAAAAAATGGTGTTCGCTTTTCCGCCTTTCGTGAGGATTATTGTGATGACCCATCGTGAATACATGTCCCGTATCTTAGGATTGCACAATGCAGATTCGCTATCCCGCTATTGTACAAAACGGCTTCCCTTCTGTTTTATTTATAGAAAAGAACAGCTGCACTTCTTGCCTTTCATACACATAGCTATATCGTTATAATGATAGCTACACGCTCTCGAAGAGAACAGCTGCCATCTCGCCACCACCTCTGTCGAAGGGGTTGACTCCTGTGTGACGGCGACTTTTTCTTCCAAAATTTTGTATTGTCCAAAAAAAAAAGCTAATTCTTTTAAGCCCGACCAATTTGCTCCTCGGGGGAATGCACCTGGCCGTGCACCTTTGATCCGTTGAGCTAAAGCCCTTCCACACAGGGCCCCCGGATGATTATGGCCGACTTTCGTCTCTGTTCGCTTTGTGATTTGAACTCACAAACGAACTAATTCCTAGGACATGCTTCGAAAAAAAAACAAAAAAATCACAACCAAAAAAAAAGAGAAAAATTGCATGATCGGAGGAACAGGAAAAAAGAAAAAGAAGAAAAAAAAAGGTCATATCTTAGAAGGATGCCACCCCCCCCCAAAAAAAAAAAACGAAATCCGTCCAAATTCAAGGAATGGAAGACGAGGAGGAAAGAACCCCCATGCCCTAGTAATACCATAAACGACAAGGGGATTTCTTTTTTTTAAGTAGTAATAGTACTGTAATACCATAATAAAAGAAAATGCCATGGGGCGCAAGCGGCCTAGCTCGGTTGGTTAGGCATGCAAGTGGCATTCAGGAGGTCTTGGGTTCAATCCCCACTAACTGCCTGCGGCAATCTTGGTGCCAACCAACTGAGATAGATCACTTGCTCTCCCGGTTTGGTATTGGTAGGGTCCTTGGCCATCATGGGTGGGTGTGTGCGTGTGTGTGGGTTGTGTGTGGTGTGTGGGAGAGTGTTGGCCATACTCGATGGGGGTGGGGGAAGTAGATGGGAGGCGCAGCTGCTGGCAAAATGCTCAGTCTTTGTGTCTGCCAGGGCTCCCCCGCCCCACCAGCGGCCCCACCCTACTCCCTGACCACTGATTACGGTGCGGTGCAACATGCATCCCCTTAATTGTGAGAGGTAGCTACGCTTGCAGGGGTCCACTGTATAGCCTTAGGAGTAGTGGTAGGTTGGAAGTGAAAAGTGCAATTGAGAGAAGAATATAGCTTAGTTATTAAAAAAA